GTGTGTGTGTGTGTGTGTGTGTGTTTGTGTTTGTGTTTGTGTTTGGCTATTTGTGAAGGCCAAATGTTTCAAAATGATCTCACAAATTAAGTGAAATGTTAAAAACTATGATGATATATGATATTGACGTGCTCTACTATTTGAATAGCTCATAAATCATGTTCTACTTTAAATCTACTGATATCAAGGTTTGTTTTAGGTTAAGGTTTTCGAGTTGGGGTTTAGCATAAATAAAATTATTCATTATTAAAATGCAGCTTCTTTAATACAAAATAAATAAAATAATGAGTAATGAGAATTCGGGGGAAAAGTAACTCTCATTAAAGCAATCTCACATAAAATATTAATATTCATAAATATTTTTTGTTATTGTTGAAATATGAACTTTGTATACATATTTCAACAAGAATAAACAGCTTTTAATGAATGCAAATAACTGAGAGAACTTATCAGATATATGTTTTATTTCATAAAAACATAGAACAATAAATGCAATTATTACTGTTAAACTACTTGGAACTAATATTTCTGTCAAAGTAACATTAGCAACTGTTTTTGTAAGAGCTTATTCATCCAGGACAAGGTGCACATTTCTCTCACAATTGTTTCATAGCAAATAAAAATAAAATGAGATTTTAAAAATTCAACATAGTCAAGCCCGCAAGGTTCAAAACTACATTTTCTGAATTCCTGATCTTTTTCGTGAAATGTGACATTTTATTTTCCTGATGTCTAATATAAAATTGTTTTAGTGGTATGAAATAATTCAGTGAGAGAAACTGCAATTATGGATGCAATTAAAAGCAAATGCAAATACATTTTCATGGCACTGAAAAACATCACAAACAAAGACAAATATTTACATAATGTATCACCTGACAGAATAGAAAAAAACCCCAAAAGAAATCAAAGAAAATCTGACTGTTTTATAATAACTGTGGGAAGTTTAGTGTCCTGAGGTGAGGTTTTGTGAAACACTTTACTTTGTGATTTATTTTTGTTTGTTTTAGCTGAATCATGAGAGGAGTTCCACCCCATCAGATCTGATCTAGGAGAACCAGAGCCCGTTCTAACCCAAATCCAGAGTCTATACCGCACACAGAGTCACAGAGGCATCAAAAGAGATGGAAGAGAGCCGCGTTCACGCTGCAGCCTCGCATCTTTGGCTGAACAGCACCTCCACGACCTTGGGGTCAGCCAGGGTCGAAAGGTCACCCAGGTCTTTTTCATTGCGGGCGATCTGTCGCAGAACTCGACGCATGATCTTACCTGCAGGACGGGTGAAAAGCTTGAGTTTAGGAGCGAAAGCAGAGATGTGGGGAGAAACTGAAAACGCAAGATCCCAGTACCTGAACGGGTTTTGGGAAGCCCTGGAGCGTTCTGGATGAAATCTGGGGTGGCGATTGGTCCGATCTTCTCCCTCACTGAATGAAAAGCTCACGTTAGTAAGAATGGAATAGATTCAGATTGTATTTTCTCTCAGTGTTTAATGTGATCATGACCTCTGACCTTTTCTCTTTAGTTCTTCCATCAGCGTGCGGTTGAACTCTTTGTGGTCTTTCAGAGTGACGAAGCAGTACAGACACTCTCCCTTCACTGCATGAGGCCGACTGACCACCGCAGCTTCAGCCACCGACGGGTGTTCGGTCAGAGCCGCCTCCACTTCTGCTGTGCTCAACAAATGACCTGAGAGACGAGACGCGACGGAAATAATCACTACTGTTCAAAAGTCCGGGGTCAGTATGATTCTTCTTTTAAAGAATTCATACTTTTATTCGGCAAGGATGCATTAAATTGGTCAAAAGTGGCAGTAAAGACATTCATAATGTTACAAAAGATTTCTATTTCAAATCAATGAACTTTCTATTCATAAAAAAAAATGTATAAAATAAAAAAATTAATCATGGTTTCCACCAAAATATGAAGCAGCACAACTGTTTTCAACATTGATATTCCAACAGAAAGTAATTATTTCAAACTGTAATAATATTTCACAATATTACTGTTTTTACTGTATTTTTGATCAAATAAAT